GGCGCCTATGGTCCCAGCTACTTGAGAGACTGAGGCAGGAGACTCACTTGAGCCCAGGAGCTGGAGGTTGCTGTGAGCTTTGATGCCACAGCACTCTACCCAGGGGGACAGCTTGAGGCTCTGTCTCAAAAAAAAAATTTTTTTTTAATCAAATAAAAAAAAAACCCAGCTCGGCACCCATAGCTCAGTGGTTAGCGTACCAGCCACATACACCAGAGCTGGTGGGTTCAAACCTGCCGGGCCTGCTAAACAACAGTGACAACTACAACAAAAAAATAGCTGGGTGTTGTGGTGGGCATTTGTTGTCCCAGCTGCTTGGGAGGCTGAGGCAAGAGAATCGCTTAAGCCCAAGAGTTTGAGGTTGCTGCAAGCTGTGATGCCATGGCACTCTACCCAGGATGACACAGTGAGACTATGTCTCAAAAAAAAAAGAAAGAAAAAAACTATGGCAGTTTTTCTATCTTCTGTTGGCTTCCTAGTTCCATCCCCAACAACAGTTGTTAGCAAAGGTTGGGGCACAGTGGCTCACACATATAATCTTAACACTTTGGGAGGCTGAGGTGGAAAGATTGATCAAGGCCAGAAGTTCAAGACCAGCCTGAGCAAGAGTATGACCCCCATCTTCACAAAAAGTTCTTAAAAATCATCCAGGTATGGTAGCACCCACCTGTAGTCCCAGCTATGGGGCAGTCTGGGGCAGGGAGGATTGTTTCAGCCCAGGAGTTTGAGGTTGCAGTGAGCTATAATGATGCCACTGCACTCTAATTCAGGCAATGGAGTAAGACTTAGTCTTAAAAAACAAAAACAAAAAAACCTGTTAGTAGTGACTCCCCGCTTTTTAAATTTTATTAGTATTATTTATTTATTGGAGACAGGGTCACTTTTTCACCTTGAGTAGAGTGTAATAGCATCATAGTTCACAGCAATCTCAAATTCTTGGGCTCAAGAGATCCACTTGTCTCAGCCTCCCAAGTAGCTGGGACGATGGGCACCCACAGCAACACTCGGCTAGTTTTTCTGTTTTTAGTAGAGAGGAGTCTCACTGTTGCTTAGGCTGGTCTGGAGCTCCTGAGCAGTTCAAACGATCCACCTGCCTCAGCCTCCCAGAGTGCAAGGATTACAGGCAGGAGCCACTGTCCCTACCTGCTTTTCTTTTCTTTTCTTTTTCTTTTTTTTGTAGAGACAGAGTCTCACTTTATCTTCCTTGGTAGAATGCTGTGGCGTCACAGCTCACAGCAACCTCCAACTCCTTCCTGGGGTTAGGCTATTCTCTTGCCTCAGCCTCCCAAGTAGCTGGGACTACAGGCACCCGCCAGAATGCCTGGTTATTTTTTTGTTGCCGTTTGGCCAGGGGCAGGTTCAAACCTGCCACCCTCAGTATATGGGGCCAGTACCCTACCCACTAAGCCACAGGCGCCGCCCAAATGTGTTTCTTTTCTTTTTTTTAAAAGACAGAGTCTTACTTTGTCACCCTCGGTAGAGTGCTCTGGCGTCACAGCTCACAGTAACCTCCAGCTCTTGGGCTTAGGTGATTCTCTAGCCTCGGCCTCCCGAGTAGTTGGGACTACAGGCACCCGCTACAACACCTAGCTTATTTTTTTGTTGCCAGGTTTGAACCCACCATCCTTGGTATATGGGGCCGGTGCCTTACGCACTGAGCAACAGGCGCAGCTCCCCCCCACCCAAAAGTGTTTCTTTTCTAATGATGACTTATTTTATTTTTATTATTTTTATCTGCAGTTTTTGGCCAGGGCTGGGTTTGAACCTGCCACCTCTGGTATATGGAGCCAGCACCCTACTCCTTGAGCCACAGGTACCTCCCAAGTGTTTATTTTCTAAACACATATACAGTGGCTTTTTTTTTTTTTTTTTTTTTTTTTTGAGCCAGAGCCTCAAGCTGTCGCCCTGGATAGAGTGCCATGGCATCACAGTTCACAGCAACCTCCAACTCGTGGGCTCAAGTGATTCTCCTGCCTCCACCTCCCAAGTAGCTGGGACTATAGGTGTCAGCCACAACGCCTGGCTATTTTTTTGGTTGCAGCCGTCTTTGTTGTTTGGCAGGCCTGGGCTGGATTCCAACCCACCAGCTCAGGTGTTTGTGGCTGGTGCCTTAGCCGCTTGAGCCACAGGCGCTGAGCCATTTTTTATTTATTTGTTTTTTGAGAGAGAGAGAGAGTGTCTCACTTATCGCCCTCAGTAGAGTTCTGTGGCATCACAGCTCATAGCAACCTCCTACTTTTGGGCTTAAGCCATTCTCTTGCCTCAGCCTTCCAAGTAGCTGGCCACAACAACCAGCTATTTTTTTTGTTTCAGTTGTCATTGTTATTTTAGCAGGCCAGGGAGGGGTTCAAACCTACCAGCCTCAGTGTATGTGGCCGGCATCCTACCTACTGAGCTACAGGTGCCACCAACACATATATAGTGTTTAATCAGTCCTGCTACGTTTTGTTTTTTGCAAAGACTGGGGTTTCACTATGTTGCCCAAGGTCATCTTGAACTCTTGACCTAAAGTTATCCTCCCTTGTAGCTGGTTATAGGTATAAGCCACTGCACCCGGTTGCCCAAGGTCATCTTGAACTCTTGACCTAAAGTTATCCTCCCTTATAGCTGGGTATAGGTATAAGCCACTGCACCCAGCTGTAGGTCTAAGTATTTTACAAAATTAACCAATTTCAACCAGGTGCAGTGGCTCATGCCTGTAACCCTAGCACTCTGGAGGCCAAGGAAGGTGAATTGCTTGAGCTCAGGAGTTCTGGACCATCCTGTCTCTAAAAATAGAAAAATTAGCTAGGTGTTGTGGCAGGTGCCTGTAGTCCCAGCTACTCTGGAGGCTGAGGCAAGAGGATCACTTGTACCCAGGAGTTTAAGGTTGCTGTGGGCTATGATGCCAAGGCACTGTAGCCTGGGGCAACAGAGTGATACTCTGCCTTAAAAAAGTTTTTTTTTAATTAACTAATTTCATTTTCTTACCAACCCTACTAAATAAATTTTATTATCTCCATTTTATAAACAAGGAAACTGAGGAATATAAAAACTAAGTATCCTAACTCAATAACAAAGCCAGTAACTCAATAACAAAGTCTCCCAGTGAGGCTGGGATTCAAATGCAAGCATCCTGGCTCCAGAAAACACAATCACTATGCTATCTTTTCTTTAACAAAATAAGTCATGGTGTACTTGATCTGCACTGTGCTTTTTTCACCAAGGATGATTATCAAAATATCCCATAGTTAATAATCAGTCCTCTAACAAATGAACATATATTTTCACACTCCCAACAATGTTGCCCTGCAGTGGTGCTACCTGGTAATCGCTTTTTCATTCCTGAGGGAGAATGACAACTGTATGTACAAAAATACATTGCAGATTGTTTAAGAAGTCCCTAAGATAGAAATCTACCTTTATTTTCTCCTAAATAGTCAAGTATCTCTCGTTTTAGATTGGTATTATCTTGTTCTACAGATCCTCTAAAACTCTATGGAATCAAGTGGCATTTTAATAAATAGTCATTCACTTCCTCTGGATCGAACTGATCCACTGAGGAAGCAGAAATGAATAAGGTACCACTCAGGACCCAGTGATCTTTTTTCCAGGGAGAAAGATGATAAATGAAAGGTAGCAGAGAAGTAAATCTGGACCTGGAAAACTAATGCCTCTAGAATGAGGAAATTTATCCAAAGTAGTGTTCCAGAGGAGTGGCTAGCACTTAAGAACCACAAGTAGTTTTGAGTGCCTTCAAAGTGAAATAGTTTGTATTTTGTCCTGGAGAGCAATGAGGATGTTGGGGGAATTAATAATGTAAGTAGAACAGAGAGCTTGGGTGTGGCTATAGTGTGGGAAATACAGGGTGCGATAGACTGAAGACAGATTAGTAAGACTTGACAAACAGGATAGGCTGAGAAAACTAAACCAAGCAGAAAAATCCCTTAGAAAGAAGCAACCTGAGGCAAGTGCAAGGAGGAGCGATAAGGAAAGGATACAATCCAGGTTTTTGGCGTGCGTAATCACTTAAATAAGCAATACGATGGGGGCGCAGCTGGGTAAAGAAGAGAAGCTCAATTTTGCACTAAACTACTAAGACGAGGGTGTCTGTGGGGCACGCAGGGAGAGATCTCTAGGAGGCAGATCTGGAACTAAGAGAGCTGAGCTGAATAAATATGTGGGCGGCATCAGAGTAGTCTGGTAAACGAAAATGTCCACAGTAAATACGTGGAGCGAAGACCACCTCCTAGTTTTTCGGCTTCGCCCCGCCCTATAACCCACACTCAGGGCGCCGTGCTCTGTAGAAAACGGTTTTTCCGGCTCCCAGCTCGTGGAGCATGCTGGGAGCGGTAGTTCGCTCCGAGCGCCGAGCTTGTTGGGAGATGTAGTTTGGGGCAGGCTCGGGATTCCTCCAAAGTCCTGGCGTAGATTTTGTTACTTGAAGGGCAGGTCCAGGAAACGGTGATGCTCCCGGGGCAGGGTGCCCCTCCGGCGGCGACAAGGGGTGCCCCGAACCTCATCCCCTCTCCGCAAGGCATGGCACTTCCACGCCTCCACGATCTGCTCCACCTGAAGAGCAAGGCCGACCACCGCGAGGTCCCATGGGGCCCTCTTGCCCTGAAACCCCGAGCCTGGCCGCCCCATCCAACCCCAGCGTCTTGACCCCACTCTACTGACTGGCTGTGCCCCGCTTGCGCACCGGAATGAGAGGTTCCCTCCGGTTCTGCTCTTCCAAGGCACTCAGCTCCGCCGGGGCCAACAAAGCCAGTCTCAGCTCTCTCACCACTGGGGCCGCCACCTCGGCCAGAGGCCGCTCCAGCACCGCCTGCGAACGCCAGCCCTGAGCCCAGCGCCACCCACCCGCCGGGCTCCCGCAGCCTGGACCTCCTTCAGCGCTCTCGCGTTCCCCTGCCCCAGCTCACCGCGCCCACTCGCGCCCAGCTCCGGGCCGCCCGCACCAGCTCAGCCTCGTCCACGCAGAGTTTGTCGCTGCGCAGCAGGGGCAGCAGCGCGGGCGCTGACAGTTCCAGAAAGCCTCGGGTCCGAAGCGCCTCCTGTGGGCCGGCATAGGGGTCAGGGAGGAGCAGAATGGTGTAGGGGCGGGGGTCAGGAGTATGAAGGCGAGGAGCTGTACCTGACTGTGGGCCTCTATGAAGGCTATGCAGCACTCCTGCAGCGGCCCCAGGCCAAAGGTTACAGCCACCTGGGAGCAGAAGGAGGGTTGGAGACTGGAGGGGCCACATAGCCCAGCCCTTCACACTGGGGACCATACGTCTGACCCTAGCCCTAGTCAGGAAGGCTGACAGGGCCCATGGCCTCCCAGAAAACTACCTAGTGAAGACCCCCATTCATGCATGTGCATGTGCCAGACTAACTCCACAACTTGCCCTTTGCTACGGGAGACCATGCCATGTTCTTCAAACACCACTCTGTGGCCTAGGCTTGGCTTCTAAATTCTACATTCCACTTTTCCTTCCCCAAGTCAAGCAGAGAACCATTCTTGCCCCTGAAAGACCAGCAAAGACCTCCCACCTCTTCAACTCCTACTCCTACACCTGACCTGCATCTGGGATCTGAGGGATCCTGGGCACAGAATTCATCCTATAAACATCCTTGGAGCACTCCGTCCCACTTTACCCCAACCCCATACACACCCAAGTTGTTCAGGATCAGACAGAGGTCGACTCCTGGCACCTGGGAGCCCAATTTCACATACTAAAAGCAAGACTCCTCCCAGGCCTAGCCAGCAACACCCACCTGCAGGGCCTCACAAACCAACTCCACATCCAGCACCTTCACCACAAACTCCAGGCACAGCTGGGAACAGAAATGAATGTGGGTTGTGTGAAGGCACCCCTGTTCCAGGACCCCAGTCCTGCCCCAGAAGCAGTGAGTAGACGTGGATCAGTGAGCCACCCAGGCTCCTATCAGCACCAGGACCATTCTCACCTCTCAGGCCAGGGGTGAGAAGGAATTGCCAGAGCCTGAGAAGGCAAGCTCAGAGGAACTGGAGACTAGTAAAGCCAAGCCAGCAACCCTCCTAGCACATTCACTACTAATCAGACCAGAGAAGATCCAAGCAAAAATTTCACTTGCCCCTTCTATCAGGATGCTTATCTTCCTCTACTGATTGATTTCCTTCCTGACTCAAGGACACTTCTATTTTTACCAGAAACTTGAATTTCATCTGTGACATCTCTCATCCTCACATCCAGAAAAACACTGGATTCAGTTTTAGCTCCTCTTTCAGAGCCATCCGCCTCTCTCTTGGGCTTCCACTGCCACCCCCACATCCCCATCAACATCATCTCTTTTTTAATTTTTCTTTTAGAAACTGTATTGCTGGCTCGGCGCCTATAGCTCAACCGGCTAAGGCGCCAGCCACGTACACCTAAGGTGGCGGGTTCGAATCCCCAGCCCGGACCCGCCAAACAAC